TAAGCGAACATATAGTTCCTTACGTCACGGTACATAAATATCTAGGGATCAACATTGATCGAAATCTCTCATGGAAGAAAGAAATTAATTCTCTAAAAAAAAGAATCACGGGAGCAACCAATGTTCTACGCTGCCTCGCAGGAACAGCTTGGGGATCTAACTGCAGAGCAATGATTCCACTGCACAAATCTCTGGTTGAAGGTCTAATAAGACACTCTATTCCACACCTAACAAATACAAGCCTGACGAGTAAACGACAGCTTCAAGGGGCGCTTAAAAAATGCATTCGAATCTGCCTTGGCCTACCAAGAGGTTCAGCTGGACCTTGCACGGTAGCAGAAGCCAGATGCTTTCCTTTGGAAGTATTACAGAAACAAGAAATAGTACGAATTCATTTACGCCATAAAACTCGGCATAAGAATCACTATCTTTCTAAGATACACATAAAACGTCCAAACTCCGGCTATGGGGATGCTTTAGATCAAAATATTGACAATATTCCAAAGCAGGCAACTGTTACTGAATACTCCCAGATACCTCGATGGACGCTTAGAAAAATAGATATTCATCTAAACATCCCCGGAATCCTTGCAAAACGCCAACAGAGCAGCTTAGTTATGCTACAACTTGCAATGAGTTAAATATATGACACTTACACTAGAACAACGCATATATATACCGATGGCTCAACAACGGCGACGATTTCATGCCAGCATTCTTCGTTCCATCGAGATTTCTTCCAAGATCTTGTCGTCTAAATCATCATACACCATCAACAGCCGCTGAGCTTCACAGAATTAAGGAAGCAATCAAGTATATATGTCAACAACCACCACAACAATGGACCTTATCTACAGATTCAAAATGCGCTTTACAGTCGCTCAGTCCTATTGGGAAAAAAATCAATGTATTCGATTTCTTCCCTAGAAATAGCTGAGTACCACCACCTAGCATTCGAATACGATCACCAAATTACCTTTCAATGGATACCAAGACATTCCGGTATACGGCGTAACGAATGCGCTGACAAATCAACCAAGAGGGCTCACCAGCACATCTGAACACGAATGGTTCATTTTACGAAAGGCGATTTTACATCTTTGACAAGCCAAATTGTAAAAAGTTGACGCGAGATGCTTTAGTCCTCAACGAATTCTAACTTCAAATTTCTCTATGACATAGACCCTTTATTAACTACACGACTACCAAGCGACCTACCATGAAATTTAGAAACTCTTATACATAGACCTCTTCTCAACTGTGTGTACACGAAGAACTATCGCTTTAAAATAAAACAACGCGCGACTCCGGACTGTGAGAAATGCGGTGCTCCCGGAAACCATCAGACATATTCTACTTACATATCAAGCATATGAAATGAACGCAAAGCTTACAAAAACTCTACGAATGCTCTGGACTGTAGGCATTTTGATATGCCGAAGCTTCTCGGACCTTCGCCTGCTAAGAAACATTGAGCAGTCTTAAAAGCTCTCTTTAGATTCTTCGAGGACATTGACTTGCTGACAGCGCTATAATTATTGTTCTCATCTTTCTCTCATTTCTTATTCTGAAACTAGACACTATTAGCCCCGAGAAGTTCGCGTGGCGCCCCCTTACGGCGCACCGGGGTGACGTCACGGCGAGGAGAGAATTTTTCCCCGACTCATCTCGCTCGCCCTGTGGAGGCTGTGACGACGCTAGCTGACGGCGCGCTTGTTTCTATTTAATTTTTTTGGCATGTTTTTCGTGGGAAGTGTAAATATTTATATGTGTCTTTGTTGAGGTATGGCCTGTAGTTACAGGCGAAACTTCAACCAACATTTTAGGTATGGTTGACAGGGCAGGCAACGCATGAATCTCAGCTGGTATATGAAAATGAAGAAATGTGGCCACAATTGCAGGAGCACCACTATAGATTTACATATCGCACAATAAATGCTGCTGATGGTCTGAATGAATTGGCAGGTTATGTATACAATATTTTCTTGTATCTCTGTTTCTAAACAAGATCGCCGAAGCAGAAAAGCTGCATGCTGCTCGAGCAACATGCTAAATACAGTCTGGGCCATGGGGAGAGAATCCAAAGACAGCCCAGGTGCAGGGGCAAAGTAAAGAAACAAGGAACATTTATTATATACATTGCTCGCATTTGATTTTTGCTGGACTTCGATAGTATTTCAATGGACTACACGTGTGGTATCTGTGGACTTGTTTATATCAACCCTCATGTAATGTATAACAAACGTAAGCGAAGGTGTCTAGCTCGTTATTAGTCCCTTAAGCCCTAAAATTGAGATTTTACTTAAATCGAATTGTCCTGAAGCTAAAATATCAGAAGCTTTTCTCACGCAGACTGTCGCCCTTCACAGGTTCCACATTTTCTGCTACTAGTGCTGGACAGACGTTCGAATGCTTTCTTTTACTTCTGTTTTCCTCTGTTGTCAGAGAGTCGAGCTGTAGGATGTTTGAAGGCCAAGGAAGCTTGTGGGGACCTGCAGCAGTGTCTCTTTTAAATGAAAATGACAATTTTTCCAGACTAAACGGTGTATTTTCCGGATACCCAAGGCTGGAATAAAGAATGTTAGGAAGAAGTATAAACATTCCAAATTGCGGCACTATTGCTGTGCACATTTTGGGCAGTTCAATACATATCATACGGGCAACTGGAGGTAATTCAGCCGTTTTTGCTGCTACCATACAAACTAATTTCCAGTAGTTGTGCGTCTTCTAATAAATATGCTTGCATACGTGTATAAACTACATAATTAATTCACGAAGAAGCTACGTTTATGTAAAACAGCCCTGTTCCACGAGCACTTCAAAGATCATCAGACGCAGGGCCTTTAATACATCTGCGAACCAGCGCATGCAGAGTAGCAGCGCAGAGTCGGGGTCGCGAGCTAATTTGCCGACCACCCAAAGGCCCATGATATCAATGCCACTTCAAATGCCTTGAAAGCGAGATGTAATATCGTCCCAATTCATGAACATGCAAGGAACAGAATTCCAGCGTCTGAAACACTTGCGCCACCGCTTCACAGACCCCTCACAGGATTGTCTTGTGTCGTGTGGACGGACGGGGAGGTTCATCGGCGGAATTGCCTCCGCCGATAGCTTTCGGGATTTGTAACCCAATTTCAAAGGTAAAAGGAACAAGCAGGCTTATAAAATGTACGGAAGTATGTAAGTATCGGCCTAACTCAACGTCTTGTACATCGGGTAAACGGAGTCCAGCTCCTCGAAGAGCTTGCGGCACACAACGCCAAACCAGGAAACCGGTGCTGGGAAGCTAGCCGATGCGAGATCGCGGAGCGGAGTCCTCCGCCTGACGTCACGGTACACCTCACCCAATCAGGGCGCGGCGACCGCAGTGACGCTTGTGTTCGCTCTCGGGGCTAATAGCGTGTATATATTTTTACATTTCATCTCATCATCATTGACTCTTTGTCGATCGTCTTTCTGTCCCCCCTCCCCTTCCCCACCACAGGAAAGCCTGTTAGAGCGCAAAGCTTAGACTAAACTCTCCGTTTTAATAACGATATGCTTTCTCTCTCTCTCACACTTAGTTTGCGTTCCAGCATAAATAGACAGCACTCGGTGTTTTGACGTACACGCGTGCTCTTGTCTCCTCATCTCCCTTTGATTCTGGGGAATTAGCTGCCTTTGGAAGCACGTGGGAGCGTAGCACTTGCTCGTGGCATGCGTCTCGCGTGTTCCCATAAGGATGGCTGGCGCTACTGGGAAGAAATGCGAAGTGCTAAAGGTCACTACTCACGGTTACGTTTGTAAACGTTTGAGTGCGTTGCTGCTGCGAAAAGCCATGACATCCTTGCTTCTTATGTCGCGTGCCAAGATAGTATCCCTTGAATTAGATCCCATGCTTTATACCAAGTACAGATGTTCCCGTGACTCCCTTTCGTTTCTCGACGCAACGCAAACAAACGCACTCAAACGCTCTAAAACGAAATTGTGCGTAGAAATCTTAATTCCCTTCCCGGGGCTTTACGAGCCCGGGGTCACTAGGCCGCGGGGACTCAAAGTGAACAGCCACAAATAATCATCAATCATGACCGGCGGTGTTCGGGGTCTAGCGCCTTCCTCGGGACCTTCATAAAAAAGAGTCCATGTCACATGATATCAGTTATCCTCTAGGTTTTAGCGTTAGCGTTAGCAGTCCACGCAAAGTTAGAACACCTTTTGAGGGAAGGAGATACATGGCTCATCGTGCCAAAGTCGGTCGTGAAGGCCTGCTCTCATTGAGCTATCGCTGTCAATTCTTCGCACACTGACGAAAAGCTGCGGATTGTTGTTTTCATTTAAAACTCTTTCACGGGATCGTCCGACTTCGCTCGTAATGCCAACCTAAAAGTTCACTTTCCTTTCTATTTTAGAGTGAGTCATGATTGGCTGGGCGGATGACTTGGACGTGAATTTTTTTTCCACGTGAGCCGTAACTGGTTACACAAACAGGCCGGTAGTACAAAATGCATTAGTGTTTAAAGTAAACCTCGCATAATGTTATATTTATATAGGAGTAACTATTTAAGGAGAAGAGCACTATTTTTGTCACATTTGAGTACGAGTAGCGATGTAGAATATTTGGTTAATGTTAACCAAAAAAACTCGCGCTTCTGCATGTAAACAGACAAACTTAAATTTACTTGCGAAAAACAGAAATAGCCTATTTGGACACGTGTTGAAACGATGGTGATTTGGTGTTTGCTGCGTTGGGTGTTTTTCAATAAATATTGAGTTGTCAGGTCAAGGTTCGTCTTGGGTACTTCTCTCCCATCTTCCTTATATTGCGCGCTGTTTCATATATTGCTTAGGAATTCGAAGTTACGGCGACGTGCTGCACGAGTCACAGAAACGCGGTCTAATCCGCAGACGCACATCAAAAAGAGGTTAGGGTACTCCCTGACCAATCGCATCTGCGTATGACACGAGAGCCACTTTTGTTTTTCATTTACTTATACCCCACGTTTTATTTCCCACTGCAGGGCACTACTACTCAACATTCCGGGTGTGGCACTTTTGCTTCTGCTCTCGGTCCTGTCAGGGCTGATTCTATTCGCTGTGTACGGCAAGTGCGATCCGAGACTCAAGGGAGATATTACAAAGGCGGATCAGGTTTGATTTTTTTTTTTTTTGGTTCAAAAATTGTTTATGCTTTTAATAAGAAAAAAAAACGAAACGGTGCTTAAGTTACTAGGATAAACTAAACTGGCAACAATAATCGGAAAAGATAAAGAGCTGGCACAAATTTTCCCGTTGGCTTCTTCTACACTGATTTGAAATGGATGAGGATGACAAGAAAAAGGTGTGTGTATGTGTGGGGGGGGGGGGGGGGGCGGGAGGACAGCCTTTTGCCACTACCAAAAATATTTTAGAGTCCCGCATAGTTAAGAAAGACAGGGCGTGGCCTTTTTCGTGCATCTCATTTTCGCAACGAAGTCAATGCGATTACTGCATTTGCCGGTAAGAACACCAAAGAGGAAGTCACGAAGTAAGAAGTGGGGCCATCACTTGCCAAGCCCTGAATTTGTTAAGCTGTCAAATGACTATTGCACGAATTCCGGCAAAGGCCGTGCGTCAGACGTGAGTTTGCGACCCCTCGATGACGGCAGTGTTGTCTCGCTTGTTGATAAACTGGCGCGAGCTTAACCGACTGTATGGATGAACCGCGACTTCTACCCAATGTAGCCCCTTGTTGCCGAGTCGCTAGGTAGGTCCTGCGCTCTCGGGTACATTCCTTGTTTACTAATATTGGCGAACCGTTGGTCGGTAGGCAGTAGTTGTTTAAGAGATATAGCCCTGTGGCGTCATGTGCCGTACGTTGGCAAAGCGAAGAGCCAGGATCGCACGCCAGGCCACCCGACAGCAAGTGCGGCGAATGCCGGGCTTGCTGATCAAAAATCAAAAGCGTTTTTGTAAGCCCAAAAGGCAGTCGCCTATCATTCAGACGCACTTGGACATTTCAGCACGATAATTTTATGACCCAGTCGAGTGACTCCTTCACGGCTCCTCACGACCTTCAAAGATAATTTCGCCGGACGGTGATACGCCTGCTGCTGATGCTGTTTCCTAAGCATCTGTAGAGGCTTTCCAACTCAAGTTGCCACCTTTCTGAGAAAACAGCACTCGGGCATGGTTCCCGCAAATGGAAGCACAATTTGAACTTTGCCACATCACAGCTCAAACATCGGGATGTACTTCCACGTGGTTTTATCGCTACGGGCGGAGATTGCCGACGAGCTCGAGGGCATTCTTGCGATTCCACCCGCAGCCGACCCGTACGCCCACCTGAAGGCAGCTATCCTCGCCAGGAAGACCGCATCTGAGCGTATCCGTCTTCAACACCTGCTAAACATGCAGGAACTGGGCGATCAGTGTACCCCTCAGCTGCTGCACTGTATGCAGAAACTTCTGGGTAGCAAAGCAGCTGACGCAGATGCACAAGTACTCCGCGATTTTTTCTACAGAGTCTTTCAAGTAGCATGGTCGTCGACCTTCCGGCTGCTGAGGATATGCATTTCGATCAACTGGCAAACTTGGCTGATCGAGGCGCAGAGTACCTTACGCCCACAATTGCCGCTTTGTCAAGATCGTCCCAACAACAAACACATCCTCCGCCCCGGATAGTTATCAGCACTATGGAAACTCGCCTCATACGTTTAAAACAGGCTTTTCAGGACCTACGGCTGTCTCTTTATCTACAAAGCATGCTCCGTCGAAGGTCAAAATCCCGTCGTTGGTCACCTGCCACCGATTCGCTGAAAACACAGGTCACTGCTAATACTACCAGACGTAGTAATAACCAGGCGCTGGTGGCGGCGGGTGAAACCGGTTTACGTGAAAAACACTTTTTTATGCCATGGATCACGTCACCGGCAAACGCTTTCTTGCTGCCACTGGAGCCGAAGTGAGCGTCCTCCCTTTGTCACCAGCTGGGGCGGCTTGCTCATCTTACGACCGCGGCCGCGGTTGCGGCCAAGAAGGAGCTTTATGACACGTAACCAGCACTATGGGTACATGAAAGCACCTAACATCCCTGCCTAATGGCAGAGAAATCCGTGTTGCTTCGAGTACAAGAGTTCGATTTGATCGCAGAGGCTTTTAAATGACTTTATACTTTAGGAGAGGCAGATGAAGTTATGGCCAGGGAACGGCAATATGAGCCAAATAAATGAAAAATCAGGCGAGATAAAAGCGATTGCAGTATGGTTATATATCTGCGCAAGCGACCCGACTTAAGCCGTCTGCTGCAGTCTAGAGGTAACAGAACCAGGACTTGTCGCTGAGGCGTGCCAATTCCGGGTTCCAATCGCGCCACTTTTTTTTTTTCTTATAAATTTATATTTTGCGCGTGCGCCTTACTTTTTAACTGCGATCCATAGAAATCATGGAAATCATCCAGAACCACGGCAGCGCCTTTCACGCTTTTTACTGTTTGTCCCACCTGCTAAATCGACACACCAGAAGAAAAAAAAAGAATGACCAAGTCAAGTTAATGCTCTAAACAATTTTTCATAACGTTCATTAAAAATAAACCAAGATGACAGCATTGGTATAACTTACATACGAGCGGGGCCGAAACAAGCATCCCTTCCCCCGGCAACTACAATTTTATGTGTTTTAAATACACAACGCGCCTGCTACAACACGTTTCAATAGCAACAGGCGCCCGTTTAGTGCAAGCTTCCACAAAAAAAAAAATCTAGCAGCCGTGGATGCAATGATTAAGCGAAAACCTACAGACAAGGCAACAAGTCAAACTTCCAAGAAAGTCGTAAAATTGAAATAATAGGAATTAAACTTTTACTAGCATGGAATGGGGTAAACGTTGTATTATTACTCTTCACGTTTTGCTGTCCCAACCGTTTTGTAATATTAACACACTACTTGTAGCATTCTAGTTAGAATAGCTAACGATCTTAACCTACGCCAAAAATAAATCAGGCGTCGACATTGAAAACCATCTCTGAAACGAATCTCCTAAAATGACTTTGGATCAAGAAATGGAACTAACAAGAGCAATTGGAGAACGGAAACGACACATTCTTTAGAAATTCAGCAGCACAGCTAGCTGTCGAACGAAAATACAGGCAAGGGAATATATTTTGAACAACATAACTTTTCCGCGGAGTGCGCGGCAGCTGCAGGAGGCGTGGCGGAAGTTGGTAAAGGAATAGCACAAACAACGAACTGGTGAGTCAGAACTACCCACCTAATAGTTTCATACAGCTTATAAGGCCTTCTTTACATTTTTAGTGAGAGTACAGTCACACAAGGTATAATTCTTGAAACTGCAGTACAAAAAAAAAAAATTCCCTTTTGCAAACAAAACAAACAAAACTTGTTAATACCGGCGAGTTGCTGCAAGTGTAGGATATAAAACCAGATGCCCATCAGAGTAAATAACAAGACCATACAGATTTAATTTGATTATTACGCTTCACCATAGCGTGGAGGGCTAATACTAGCAAAATACTTGTTGAGTCAACTGGCAGAAAACTATAGTCGGTAACAGGTAGAGAACGAAAAGAGAGAGAAAGGAATGGTAGGGAGGAGGAAGAAGACAGGGCGCTAGGGAGGAGAGGAGATTTCCTCCTCCCTCTCCAGCGCCCCGCTTGCTTCCTCCTCCCCACCCTTCATTTCTCTCTCCCTTCGCTCTTGAACTGTCATTGACTGTTGTCTTTACATTTAGAACACTCCTATGCCTGAACAGGTGCTGGCCCCAGCCCGCATGTAGTGACGCCCATCTTCCAGTCTGTGCTGGACGTCATTAGACAGGACTCACCGAATTTGAACGGCTTGGATGACGTCATTGTCGGCGACACCGGGGTGTATGCAACTAGCATTACTTCAATCTTCAGTAAAATTGAGCAACTCACTGAGGCTCGATTGCCTATATCTTTGTAGTTTCAGTGATATTTTATGAATAAGTCCCAAATTTCTGGAGGCACAGTGGGGCTTATCGCGTGCAAAAGTGTTTAGTTGGTATTATCTGTGTAACCTTGCCTGCTTTCTTCTTTTTCTTAACTAGAAAGGCAGCTGGAAAACAGCGGAAACAAAATGTCATAAAATATTTATTTATCAGTCGGGGAAGAGGGTGGGCATTAACTTTTTAATTCAACGAGTTAGAAGCATTTTTTTATATGACTGCATAGTCGATGTGGCAAAACAGGAGAGTTTGAATTGAAGTTGTAGACAGCTTGCGAAAAAACTTTTTGCACACCTAAGGTGTGTGAGTGCACATGTATTGTGAAAAGGCAGAAAAAAGGACAGGCGATACACTCGTGAGATATTTGAACCAAATTAATCCACTTCTTACACACATGCTGTTAAAGAAAAAATATAACCTACAGCCGCACATCACATAGCGAGAATATGAGTGTAGGAAAGTAAAGGTCAGTAAACTTTGAACACTGACCACACGTATTCCAGGTGAAGGTAGAGTGAAGGTACTGATTATGTAAACATGTTTCTCAAATAACACTGACTTCGCTATAAACACTCACAGGACTGGAAACGATTAAGTCGTTACTACTTTGACCTATACTGCATAAAATTAGCTAACTCAAAGATGGGCTGCAGAATCATTTTGACAACGCAAAATGTGTGCCTTTTTAGCACTCGGCGAAAATCAGCATCAACATGGTTCTGTACACCTTTGAATCTGCTGAAGTTCTGCGGCTACTGGAGTGGACGAACAGGCTGCGAGGCAAGGTGGCCACCCTGGAAACCTTGGCCTTAGGGCAAACGAACCTCTCCGTCCTCCAGGCATCCGACCAAGTCGCTGGTGCAGGACGGCTGCGCGTCATTTCCAGCGGTGAAGTGAGAAACTTCAAGAGATTGACGCAGATAACATTGAGTTAGACAAAGTAGCTGGAAAGAAAGCACTGGACGCCGCTTAGTGACTATATAACCCACCACGGCGGCAAAAAAAAAAAAAGTTACAAGAAGTCCGCGATTGCGTAACGTGTCATTGGTGCGAAAAAGACAGCTGTTTACACTAAAGAAAGCTCAATCTCGAATTGCGAATTAACAAACTTGAAGATCGACACAAAAATTACCGAAAGGATTTTTTTTTTGTAGTGGCATCACTCATTATTTGTTTGGCAATAGTA